AAATTTACATTGTGTTATGATCTCAAAGAGAATTTTTATAAAATGATGTATCATTGATACATGACGCCAGAGAAATTATCTAGAAAGTATAAGGCATTTCAACTGTATGTTGGAAATGTAAACTACATGAAGGAATATTTTACAGTATCAAGCTTGGTAGACATGTAAAGAAGCTAAAAATTTTTGGATTCAAATACATACATACTTTGATACAAGGATTTTAAAGATCAATATTAAATTGAAACCAGAACTTTTCCTTTTAGGATTAATGGATAAACAGCTAGAAAAAAGCCATGGAAGATTATTTCAATACATGATTACTGCAGCAAGATTACTATATGCCCAGAGATGGAAAGATTCAACACTACCAACTATGGAGGAGTGGTTGGTGAAGTTGACGGATTTTGCTGAAATGAATAAATTGACTTCTTTGATTAGAGAGAAGACGTTATCTACATTTATCGGTGACTGGAAGCCTCTTTTGGGTAAACATTTAAAAAATGAACTTGTGATTTATGGTTTTGATGACTAGATAGGATAGATTATAAAAAGAAGAGTAATATGTAACTTTAGCGAGAGAGGTTAAAATATATTTGTACTCATAACTGCTGTGAAGAATATCAGAAGCCGCTTCTTTATATCTTTTTTCTTTCTTTTCTATTTTTCTTCAACTTTTTTCTTTTCTTGCAATTTTTGCTTTTTCTTTGATTTCTTCTTTTTCTTTTTTCTTCTTACTTTATATTAGTTTGTATTCATTTTTATCTTATTGTTTAAAAGTTTTAATAAAAATTATAGACCAAAAAAAAAAATATTAGCATTCTCTTAAAAGAGAAACGAAATGGTCATGCACCAAAATCAAACTTCCCATATAACAATAGAATTACACTAATACTACATAATGACCTAGTTCACAAATAATAGCAACAATAAATGTACTGAATTTGTATGCTTCCTGACTCTCAGTGACTCTGGGCAGCTCATAACAATCAAACAAAGAAATTACAATAAAATCAATAGAAGATAAAGATAAAAGATGGCCAGCACGATGAAGGAAGGGGTCTCACTCTGCCTCGCCAAAGGCCTGGCTCCTCACGACTCTTCTAAGCAACATCAGAGTTTACTTAAGCATGGTTTATCAAACAAGCCATAGTTGACTGGGATCCTACATTGTGCTAAGCCATGATGTAACCACAGTGGATGTAGCACACAATACACTAAGCAGTAAAATGGTGTGATTTTACGTTTGGCTGGGGTGTTGTGTGAACCAGCTGAAGATGTAACCGTGATGGACAGGGAGGGATGGGTCTCCTCTGGTGCTAAAATCTAAGCTGAAAGCTGTATTCCTTTGTGTGTCTGTGTGTGCGCCTTCGAGTCAGTGTTGACTCCTGGCGACTGCCTGAATTAGGCCCTGCAGTTTTCTTGGCAAGATTTCAGAAGTAGTTTGCCACTGCCTGCTTCCTAGGGCTAAGAGAAAATGACTGACCCAAAGTCACTGAGCCGGCTTTGTGCCTAGGTGGGACCAGAACTCACTGTCTCCTGGTTTCTAGCCTGGTGCCTTCACCACTACACCAAACTGGCTCTTCTGTATTCCTTTAAACTTCAGAAATCTCTCCCCCTCTGCTGGCCGGGGAATTCTGGGGGTTGAAGTCCACACATCTTAAAGTTGTCAAGGTTGAGAAACACTGCAATAGTGGTTTATACTAAGTTGCACCAACCTGTAGGTTGAAACTGCAATTCCTAGAATTTATGGCGAGCAACAAAATGGCATTTGATATGACCCCAGGAGAACTGGTCAGCAGTCCACGCAGTCTTCACTTTAGCAGTATAACCTAGGTGCATCAAGATCTCTGCCCCAGTTGGTTTACTGTCTATAACTCAGTATCTGTAGGCATCCTTATGTATGTATGTATGAATGAATGCCTGAAGCACTTAGAGCAGACTAATATGGGATCTAGCTCTCTGGAGAAGGTTCTAATGCTGGGAAAGGTGGAAGGAAAGAGAAGAAGAGGATGACCAGCAGCAAGGTGGATGGACTCAGTTACAGTGGTGGTGGATGCATTGTTGAAAAACCTGAAAGTCCAGGTTAGGGACAGATCAACATGGAGAAAAACTAGCTTTGTATTTGCCAACAGTCGATGCCAACTTAATGGCATAAAACGAATCATTCAGACCAGACTAAGTTGTGTCAACCTAGCCATCATCTTAACTTGTTGAGTGAACCAGGTCCTAAGTTTAAAACACAATATGGTGCATTTGTTTTGACCTGGCTTGTTAAGTGAACACAGGCACTGGGCTTTGTTAACCTGAATGCAGCATGTTGTGAGAACTGTGTGAGGGTTGGTAAGAGATGTCATACTGAAGTAGGAAGCCTCTATGCCAAAAACAGGTTGACCTCAAGTATACAGGATTGGTTTGAAAAATAAGGTAGACTGACTAACTGGAGCCAGGTCCAACAAGCAATGGGGTGTGTGTGTGAGGTGGGGGAAGGCAGGAAGATACAGAATTAAGGCCCTGTCCAGAAATTATGCACAATTCAGGAATTGTTTCTTCTCCAGTTACAAAACTGGGTTCATTGTTCTTTCATTCCCAAGGATTATGCCCAAGCTTTCTTCATGTTTGCAGCTAGGGTGGGGAGGGTGTGGAGAGTTTTTATTATTATTATTATTGGTAAGATCAACTGGGAATCAATATATCAAAAAAAGCCTCTCTCAATAATTCCCACTTTAGCACATGTGTTCTGGGGAAAAGAAAACACAATTTTATTTCTCTTGAAAGATGGAAGAAAGGTTTTTGGGTCAAAAGCAATTGGATAATAATGTAGTTAGGGTATAACTGTTGGATAAGGGGAGGCCCCCAAATACACAATATTCTCCCCCCCCCTCTCCTGGAATCTACCATAACTATGATGGCTGAAAAGTGATGACAAAGATTTCTTTGCCATTTGTAGCAGAAGATCTGATCAACTAGCAGAGTAACCCTTAAAATAGGCTTAGTGTCATTATTTAAACTCTACCCTACAAAGTTACTTGGCAAGTAGGTGGATGTTTAAAATAATAAGTCCCCCTTTGAACACAGGACAGAAGAAAATCTTGTCCCTTCCCACTTCTTATCATCAACCCTCTCGTTGGGTCTTCC